CCTATCCAACTGTATTTCCTCCTTTCTTAGTGTTATGGTTTAGATCTAAAATGTCCCCTAAAGTGTTGTGTGTTCAGAAGTGGGATTTTCAGAAGGTGACTGGATCATGGGGGTGCTATAATTTTCAGTGTGTTAATCTATTGGTGAGTTCATAGCTGAATAGGGCGCTTTTAGAAGTGTGGCCTGGTAAGAAGGGGAAGGTCAGTGAGTATGTGACCTGGAAAGGTATGTTTTTGTCCCTTCCTCGCTCCCCTGCATCTGTTTCTGTCTGTCTATCTCTGTCTCTGCCTCTTTGCTTCCTGGCCACCATGTCCTTCCACCGTGCTTGTTCTGCCTTGGAGCCAACCAACCATGGACTGAACCTGTTGGAACTGGGAATCATATAAACCTCTATCCTCCTTTATGTTGTGAGTGTTGGGCATTTTGTTGCAGCAATGGGAAATCCAGTATCCCTAGGTACCTGTGACCCCTGTGGCATGGGAAACTGCCTAGAGTTTAAGGGGGAGATTTCTGCTTTCAGAGATCGTAACAGAATCTTTGGGGAAGTCATGTGGAGCTGACTTTAGGTTCACCCAGAAGCTGCTGGTGGTCCCAATGTGTGATGAGACAAGGAGTACAGATTCTTCAAGGGTATCTCTGCAGCTAATGAGGCCTTGAGTTGGGTACTGATGGGCAAGTAGAGTTGGGAGCCTCGGTCCAGTGAGGGAGTCTGGGGAAAGCCAGAGGAACAAGGCCTGTTGCAATGGGCTGCTGAAGAGTTAGAACCCTGGAAATGATACCTAGAATCTCCTCTATCCCATAGGTTCTAGCTTAGAGCTCTGGGCGGATGAGCAGAGGAGCCCTGCATTAAGTAGGCACAGCCCTGCTGGCCTGCTTTGGGCACAGAAGGGACCACGGAGGAAGAGCTCCTGGGTTAATGTTCTTGTTGTCAACCTAAAGTTTACATCAAAAGGGGCCTTGGTGGTGCATTGATGAGTGTGGGCCATAGTCGTCAGTAGGACATTTTACTGTGACTCTGTAAACATTTTAAAACTTCCCACCAACTAAGGCTTATCTACCTTGTAATTTTGCACCATACTGGCTTGCTGTCTTAAATTTTTTGCTTCAAATGGTTAAGAATGACTTGTGCAGAAGTGTGAACTATTTCATCTCTCTTGCTTCTAACTCCCTTTCACCTGAACACCATGGCTTCAAGTGTCCTGGGGTATGAGGAGGTAGGTGTGCAGAGCCATAGTGAAATGATGAAAGCCAGAGGCTTTTGTGCCCAGAAGGGTGTCCCATACAGTACCTCCTGGGACAACAGAAAGGACACACAGTGACCCATCAGTATTTATTATTGATCTTTATTTTTCCCCATTACTATTTACAGAATTTTACTCGCGCGTATTTTTCAGAAACATAATTTTATATTTCTTCATGTCTTACTTTCTTAAAATCAGGCCTGGTCAGGGTCTTTTCTGTACAGAAATGTGCACTGGATGAGGCCAAAGAGGGCATCCAGCCACACCACAAGCTCTGCTGCTCCCTGTCCCTTTGTGGGTCAGGCCAACCAAGGCACCTGGGTCTTGGTCGTCCTTCTCTTTTCTTACTTTTCACTGCATGGGCCCAGTACTACTCCTAAAGTCTTACACGTATGAATTTTCCGTAATTCATCTGCTTGCAGATTGCTATTCACTAGCACTGTCTCATGTTAGGAACAATTCCAGCAGCTTCCACTTCACTGATAACTTATCACTGACGCTGGGGATGCAGTCTGGCAAGGTGGTGGGTGCAAAGTCTCACGAAAATGCAGTCCATAGAGGTGACCCTGACCAACTAGGACATTTTCTACGTGAAGTATATTAAGGAGATAACACCCTCCCCCCACCCTTTAAAACTTAACACTGATAATATGGATTTAATAGTGAACACAGGACATTGTGCAACAAACACGAACACACTGCACTCTCAGTAAGACAAGACACGATTTCCTTTGATGTGTGGCTGTGGAGGAGCCAGCAGGGTGTCATGCAGGTGGAGAGCTTAGTGGATGCACTCAGTAGTTAATAGCTCAAAGGGTTTTAGCTGTTGTTTATACAGAATAAAGAAACCTCATTAGGAATGGCCACAGTCTCAATAAAATTTAACTCTAAATGTGCAGAGTTTGCAGCCTTGCTATTAACCAGATGACACAAGTTGTAAGAATACATTTGACAGGCTCCATTAAGACCCAACAGATCATCTGTTACCTCTGCAAAGTCACCCCACAGTGGTGAGAACTTGATAGGAAACGTGTCAGACATCCCCACAATAGGGCACCGGGAATACAGACAGGGGCATCTTCCTGGGGCTGGGGTGCTAAGTGGAAAGTCAAGGGGAAGAAAAGAAGGGACAGGTGCATAGAGGAGTAAATGTGGGGTTGCTCCATTCCAGACTCAGCAAGGTCTTTTCCTTTGCCCAAACTTCCAAATTACCAAGCGCTCTTTGATTCGCTGACTCCCAGGAGCACCTGGCAGATGCTCCGCACTTGGTGTTGAGGGATGTTTGGGAAGGGACATAGGCAGCCAGCTGGAGATAGTAGAGGATGGGGCTCAACAGTGACATGGATGACAGAGTACACACAGACACAGCGAGGGGAGAGCTGGCAATTTTCAAGACGAGTTTCAGTCCATTAGAAAGCCCCAAGCCAAGGCAAACTCAGAAGATTCAAGTTCCTGAAAAGGTGTCATTGCCAGACCTCCACCTCACCTTGACACTTCACCTCACAGAGTACAAGTTGCAGCAGAGTTCAACTACTCTCATTGCAGCATGTTAGGGCAAGATCTTCTTTTTTAAGGTATCATAAATCTAGCTACATGGATATTTACAACTGGCCTCTTTGCCTTTCCTCTATACTGTGAAGCCTTACTGCGCATCACTGCCTCTTTTTGTCCCCACTGCTCCAATTTCCATTTATGACTTCAGCCCAGTGAACTGGTCATGAGCCACAGGGCGGAAAGTCCCTCCAGGATCCTGGAAACCCAAACCCAAACTAACCAACTTTTAGGTTCCAGGAAGCTAGTATTTCAATAGGCATGTCAGGACCTTCAGATGTGGGGCACTGCTTTCCCTTCAACCTGGACCTCTCTGTGCAAGGAGACCAAAAGAGAAGAGGTAATCTGAGACATTCTGGAGACAGCAAGAGTTTTCTTCATTGTCTTACCAGTGTGTGTGTGTGTGTGTGTGTGTGTGTGTGTGTGTGTGTATGTGTATGCGCACATGTGTATGCGTGCCTGTGTGCTATGTGTAGAGAAGAGAATAAGCTGGCTGTAATCTAGGCAGTCAGTACCTGAGGCTCCTTTGCATTTCCCTCTCATTCCTCTGACTCTTTACCTGGAGGAGGTGGAAGTAGAGAAAATTCAAGGGGGATCTTGGGGCCTGTCACTGAGTCCAGCAGCCAAGAACCATTCTAGAATGGGTCACTAAAATGCTTCCTGTCCCTGAATGGGCTCACTACCACAGTCCAAGGCACCTTTGGTTCTCAGCATGCAGCTGCTGGCAGCCAGCCCCCTGAGCAAATCTTCTCATTGTCTACTGGTCTGCAGCTGCCAACAGCCCCACATGCGTCAGGCTCATGAAACAATTGGGATAAGGGGATGGGCTATACAGGCCATCTGCCTCCTCCTCTCCAGTTCTCTAGCCCTCCCACCCCATATCTGCACTGTTTGTATTCCCAGTGCATCATTTAGGGTCTCACCCTGAAATAGTAGCAAAATTCGAGGCACTCATAGCTTATCCCATGGAGTGAGCACTTCCTACCTCAAGGCACTATATTACAACTTCGTGGAACTACATTCACTTCCTCTGGATCCTGTATTCAAGAGACAGTCCAGATGTGGGGAGGAGGAGTAAGGAGTGGAGGCCGTGCTCCCTGGAACAAGGCAATTAGAATGAAACAATGAACTAAACCAGCCAAACAGGGCCTCCTTTATGTGTAAACAGGCCAAAGGCATTCTAGCAGTTCTAGGTCCATCGACAGACATGCTTTCCCTCACAACCATTCAAATCAGATAAGAAAGAACATATACTTACTATGCACACACATATGGAATATTTACTCACGTGTGTACACAAGCAAATACGCACACAAGCCACACATTCACAGGGATATGTACATTGTAGACTCACTTTCACAAATAGTAATGTAGATTTACACTAATAGATATAGTGCTATTAAGCTTCTCCAATGGCTATATGTACACACACTCACCCCAGTTACACACAGAAACACAGACACGGAAGCATAGTTTGAAGAGTAGGTGGGTACGAGGTGAGGGGCTGCAGGAGAGGCTGCCTAAGGAGGAAGAGGAACATAGGTTGAATGCTTTGTGAAGCTTACTCCCTCATCCGTCAATAAGCTGTTGCTGCTGTTGCTGCTGTTGCTGCTGCTGCTGCTGCTGCTGCTGGGCAAGTTGGCATGTGGGCTAACTTGCTTGGTTCACGCTCATTGGCAGATCAGTGGCCTCTTCCTGACAAGGTGCTCTAGGTCTGTAGAGTGAGGTGGGCAGCCTGACAGCTAGGCAGGCTCTGCCAACACACCTCATTTTGCAAAGGGGAGGGAAGAAAGGGGAATGCTTCATTTGAGTTAGGAGGCAAGGGAGTAAAAGCCAGTGTCTTCAAGCATGGCACATGAGTTCCACTTTTTCCTTGGAACACTGGGGACAAGATGCTTTGCATTCCCTCGCTCACAGGGCTCCTGTGAGGTTCCAACGATGTGATGGGTCACTGAGCTCGTTGACACTTAACTATACACTAGACAAATAGAAAGGGTTAGTATATAGATTTACAATAGTTGTTCATCTGCTCTTCTAGATCAGATGGTGAAATGGCAAGCGTGAGCTTTCCTAGCCTACTGCTTATTCACCAAGAGCTTACACTGTGACCAGTGATCAACTGAGCAATTCACAGAAGGCTAACTCCTGACTCGACAGAAGTTTTGAGTCCCTACTGTCGAGCATTCTGAAGGAGAGAGAGAGGGGGGGGGAGGGGGGGAGGGAGGGAGATAGAGAGAGGGAGAGAGACAGGCAGGCAGGCAGGAGAGTAAATTCTAATCCCTCCAAAATGGCCAGCCGAGCCTGTGCATTCTTTAACCCGACATCACCCCTGCCTGCCACAAGCTCCTGCCACCTCCCTCCAGTTTGCCTCCGATCTCTGTACCACAATGCCAAACTCAAAATACAACGCACAGTCATGGGCAAATGGCGACTTTGCCATAGCCAGTTTCCTGCATTTCCAAGCCTAGGCCAGCTCTTCCCCTGTGTACCCCAGACTAACCCAGCTTGACTTTCTCATGCACAGCCTTAAACAAAGAGCAAGGGCCATCGCCCCGAGGAAGGAAAAGAAACAACAAAGTACAGTAATGAAATAGAAAATTCAATGCCTAAAAGCCAAGAAAACTCCAGAAATGTTTATGAGCAAGGCTCAGCGCTTTCCTTTGCTCCCCAACTTGGCTCCTCTCTGTCTTTTAAACATTTCCAGGGGCCTCGCTGTGCCTATCCACTGTTGGAAATGTTCCAAAAGGTATGCATCTTCTTGCCAGAAAAGAAATCAATGAGATACTCCTAATTCCTCAATTCCTTCCCTGGCAGTCAAAGCATGAATGATCTAACTATTCTCCACCTCGTGATAATAAGAAGTGTTGAACTGATAAGTACCAAATAAAATGACCAAAGGAAAGAGGGAAAAATAAAGCCAAAAGTAACTGTGAAGGGAGCAAATCATGGTGTTCCTGCCACTCTGGGGCCCTTGGAACTAAAACATGTCGAACAGCCAGTAGACAAAATTGAACAATACAAAGGAAAGAGGGAAGAGGACCCGGCACCACCTGTCTAGCTTAGGGACGTAGTCAGGCTTAAAGAGCTTGGATGAGAACTCGATGAGGGAGCACCCAGGGCTCAGGGAACTATCCTCAGACCCTAAGCTGCTCTCCTTCTCTTGGTCAGAGGTCATGGAATTCTCATCAATGCTCCAGATACTGTCAGTGTCATCCTCGAGTTGCTCTTCAAGGTCAAGGCTGCTGCTGTTGACACTGGTGTCATCCGGTAAGCTTTCGATCTCATCAGAGTCCCAGCTTGCTTCTTGCCCACACCTCTGGCCACGGGACACCATGGGCCTCCTTCTGGGGTCACAGCCATGGCTCTCATCCAAGCTTGAGTTGTCTTCGGACTCTTCCTCGTTGTCATCATCATCGTCATAGGTCTCTATACAGATGCGGGCTTCGACGCGGATGCGGATTCTGGTAGGAGCAGTAATACCACTATAGCCAGGAAGGGGCTGCAGGGAGGTGGAGGGGAGATAGCTCATGTTCTCTCCAGCCTCCAGCTGGTCCAGGCTGGAGAGGGAAGAGAATGTGCTGAGGCATTCGGAGGTGGCCAGTGGGGCCTGCTCTGAGATGGTCGCCAAAGAGCCAAGGCTTTCGGGGCTCGCCAGGCCAGCCTGTGCAGGGCGGGTGGGAAGAGAGCCAGAGCCGACTTCGTTTTCCACGTTAATCAGGCCATCCTTTGAGGAGATAATGGATAGGCTCATCAGTTTCTTATCACCTAGGTGGCTACATACTGGGGGAGGGACAGGGAGGGGGCTTTCCTCATCAGCACTGGCAGTGTTACTGTCGATCTCTTTGACACACACAGCCATCTCCTCTTGGGTCTCTGGAGCTCAAGGGGCTGAGAAGAGGGCAAATAAGCTGTTGGCATGCAGGGGGAGGTCATGGCAGCAGCCTAAGCAGTGTGCTGGATATTAATGTATTGCTTGAGGCAAAGGCCTCAGCATAGCCTTGGGAGTCTGTGGAGCCAAGGAAGGAGGAATGGGCAGGCCAGCCTCTCTGGTGACTGGCTTCCTTTCAGCCTCCCTGTGCCCACCTTCCCTTTCTGGCTTTGACACCTGCCCTGGAAGCAAGAAAAGTGGAACAAATTTGTTTCAAAGATCTGGAGAAATTAGCTCTGCCAGTTCTTGCCTTGTGACGCTGGACAGTGGTCATCTATAAAGGAGTGATGATGAAATTAGTCCTGTTTCTTTGTTAACTGTTGTGGGTGTGTGCTGTGCATGGGTGTGAGGATTAAGGTGTGAAAGGGTCAAGAGGCCAGCCTGGGCTCAAGAGGTGCTCAGGGAAAGCTGACTGTCAGTCAAAAAGTCAAACTTGCGCATTTCTCACCACTACATCATGGTAGAGGTAGCGGGCAAGGACTCTCCTGGGTCTCCTGCGTTGTCTACGATGGCGGCGAGATCGTTTGTTGAAGTAAAGGTAGTTGATGTAGGCATACTCTATCAAGGACAGGAACACGAAGCACAAGCACACCAGCACATAGATGTCGATGTGCTTGATGTAGGCAGCGTAGGGGAGTTTATCCTGCAGATGTGAGTCGATGGTGGTCAGGATAAGGATGGAAATTAGGCCTATAAATAACAGCACAGGTTAAGTCTCCTTTGGTGGCTGAAGTTCTCGGCAAGCCTTTGGGGCTACATCCCATGGGAAGGGAGAAAAGGCCGTCTCTCAGGTGGGGCCTCTGCCCACGTGTTCTCGATCCCTCTTCCCCATGTTTAAACCCATCCGATGCTTCACTGGTTTGATGACTTCCTTGCTCTGAGAATCAACTTCCAAATCTTTAGCCATGGCTGCACAAGTCCCACCTGGCCCTATTTGTCTTCTAGTACATATTCTTCTTTAAGTAACTGGGGAAGTTTTGGGAACCCTAAAATATTGCACACCTATCAAGGTTTGGTCCAGAATGCGCTGCTAAAGAAAGACAGGGAAGGGTTTGGCCTCCAAAGATGGTGAAGACAAGCCACTCTTAAGCATTCTTTGCTCAAAAACCCTTAAAGACTCTCCATGCTTAGGCATGAAGTTCGAGGTCTTCCCAAGTCTGCCCAGGCTGTCTTTCTGCTGCTTTCCTCAGCTGCCTAGGTCCTGCCCTGGGCATCTTGCGATTTAACTGACTTTTAGGTTCCCCTGTGTCTTTAATCCTGCTATTTCCTCTTTGATGACTGCCAAGTCTTGTGCCTGTGCTTCCTGCAAGCCCTCAAACTCACTTCAGATGCTTTTTTGATGTGTTTTTAACCACCAAGACCTGGATCACATCTTACTTAATCAGTTTTTGTGGTATCACATTTCTGGTCTAAATTTATTTATACTTATGTATTCAATAAATAATGAATAATGGAATTTTGGCCTCAACATGCCAAGATCCCATCCGTGATGTTGCTTTCCCATCCCCAGTGTTAGTCTCTCCACTGGGTGTGGCTGGCTGAGCACCTGTACAGTGAATACTGGAAAGATCCTTGTTTCTTTGCCTGTGCAATTAGTCACCTACTGCTCTACGTTTTCCTTCGTGGAAGTTTTTTCTGAGCAAAATGACCCAAGTTCTTCCCTGGGATAGAGACGAGACCTACCAATTGTCACCCTGGCTGCAGAAGAATCATGGCGCATCCAGAACGACAGCCAGGAGAGAACAGTGCAGAGGATAGTGGGCCAATAGATGTACAGAAGGTAGCTGTTAATTTCCCGCTGGACCTGGAACTTCATTACCAGACGCATGTAGGAACCTGAAAGGAGACACGCTGGTGTCAGCCCCACGCAGCACAGCAAGTCTGCTCTGTTCACCTCACCTCCTCACTTACTCTGTGTTACACACAAGAGATATTTCCAAGCTGCCAACGGATGGCGAGAGGCTGGGCCTGAGGTGAGGGTGAATGTTGTAAACCTAGCCAAGTACATCTATGTCCTCTCCACATTTGCCCAGGTGAGCCACTGAGGCTTTATCAAGACCCCTGCCCCTGAACATGTCCAGAATGAGGGAAATCGAAAGAGGCAGCAGAGAGTGTAGGGATCCAAGGCAGAATCCTGCAGCAGTTTTAGGGGTGCAGAGGGGACAAGAAACGGGAGCGAGGGAAGGCATCAGACCCACCTGTGTAGAAATACACCTCCTTGCTAGTAATCACCCTCCCCAGGAAATTAAACTGGGGGACTCGCAGCTCCTTAGTCGCGTGTGTGCCATCCTTATCATCGTCCCACTCTAATATGATGTCTTCAACAGTGTAGCCATCTGAGAAGGGGAGAAACACAGATAATGTCAGAAAACATATAGGCAGATTTCACGCCAGAGAAGTCTGAAGACCAAAGCAAGATTGGGACTTATGATTTGGGGGGCTTTGTTGTGGTTTGCCGAGTCTTAGCATGGGAGAGAGAGTTTGAGCACTTGGAAGGAGAACTTTAACCCTGTATTTTCTTAGGCCAGAGGGAGAGTACAGCAAAGAGACATAACAAGCTCCCGTTCACAAGCTTGTTACCTGAGTGTCCAGTGGCAATTGCCAGGAGGGCTAGCTACCTTCTAAAGGCCATTTGCTCCCAGATGCCATATAGACACATCTACTAGTCAGTCATCTGTGAAGTACGATAAAAAGCTACAACGAATATTGAGTTTTCAAAAATGTATTACAGTAAAAGACACATTATCATGAATTCCCCTAAAAATACTCTCCTTTACTTCGAACATACTTCTCTCAGCACTCTTGCCATTTTTGACAGTCTGGAAATCCTGTTTCGTGTCTTTAGTAATGTTGTTGAGGCTGTCTCCATGTCCTGAATTGATCCAAAACATTTACATTTCGTGGTCATTTTGACTTTGGGGAAGAGCCAGCAGTCACAGGGTGCCAGATCCAGTGAATAAGGTGGATGAAGACACACCATTGTGTTTTCACAGCCTGCTTTCTGTGGGATGGTGCTCGGTAGCAGAATTCACTGCAGTTTTGATCACACCTTATACAGACATTCATTAAAGAGGACCTCCAGAACTGCTTCAGAAAGTGGCAAGAACCATGGGATAAGTGTGTTGGATGTAGTGGGGGGGTATCTTGAGGGGGGTTTCACAATAATTTGTTTTGACTGTAATATATTTTTAAGATTTAAATGTTCACTGTATATTTTGATCACCCCTTGTGTCATGTGCCGATCATCTAGCTTTCCATCATTTATCTATTGATCATCTATAGCTTTAGGAGAGAGAGAGAATGGGGGGGAGGGAGGAGAAGAGAGATGCTGTCCCTCTCACTGTCAACTCTGTTTGTGCTTTCCTGACTGCTGCAGCCCCAGGCAGAGAGGAAGCGTTCACAGGAGAAATACGCACAGCTCTCCACCTCCAGCTTGCATGTCTTCCGGCCGATAGGGAATTTACGCAGATCCAGGGTACAGGCTGCTGTGGCAGTCAGCCTGTCAGAGAAAACAAAACAGAAGGGAAAAGTGAATGGAGCCCAGGCAAGCACCCATCGGTGAGGGTACTGCAGGGGTGGAAAGAAAGAGTTACCTTGAAGATCTGTTTGTAGGGAAGAGAAAGAGGGAAGACTGGAGTGTGATGAGGACCCTGAGAGGTCTCGCAGGACTGACACCAAGATATGCGTATGGCATGTGGGCAAACCACAGGATGTCAGAATGGGAAGGGCCTCGGGAGGGAGTAGATGCAGAGACAGAAAGGAGACCCAGGTTTGTAAAGACACATTGAGGCTGTCAGGAGAAAACTGCTACATGGAAGCCATTGAGGTTGCACATCTGGTGTGAAGGGCAGGTATGTGGTGTACATATGAGGACGTGGGTCACATCTGCACTCGTGCCAGAGGTGCAAGCCTATATGGCACTAGGACAGGCAAGATGCCAGTGGGCATAAAACAGAGATGTGGGGACATAGCCATGGTTGGCCAGGGAAGGGCTAACAGTAAATCAAGTGGGCAGGGGCATTAGGTTGCTATGTGCTGCATCCATGAGACCTGAAGGGGAGCCTTGGAGGATCCGGGAGCAACAAAAGCTCTCTACTGCTTCAGCTGGAAGGCTCTGTCCCACCCCTTCCATCCTTCAGCCCAGCCTACTTCCTGTCATTCCTTGAAACAATTTCTGTTTGTGCCCAGAGCAGGGTGTGTATGCATGTGTGACACTGTGTCTGACTGTACTCCTTTCCATACATGTCCCACGTGATGGTAGTCAGCCAGTGTCCCCTTTAAGTTAAAGAGTGATCGGTGGTCAGCTCCCTGCGAGTGTTGTTACTCTTGGACTCCAGAGCCTTGGCTCCTGGGAAAGTGGATGGAGGAAGGAAGGAAGGGAGCCAGGAAGGGAGACAGACAAGATCACTCAGAGAAAAAGAAACTCAATGAGCCCTGGTAGGTACCACTTGGGGACATTTTCTGAGCTAAGTTTACCTTACACTGGTCTTCAGAGACCATCTATAAGGGATGGCGCTGTGAGGACAGCCTTGGGTCTGTCTGCTAGGTGTAAGTAGATCAGTGTTCTGTATGTACAGAGAGCTGGAGACCAGAGATCCATACCACACACAGCCATCATACCAGCCCCTCTCTTGTCCACCCCACCCTGTACGGTGCAAATGTGACCAAGGGTGATGATGGGCTCCTTCCTTCACTGCACGAGGTTCAGCATCCACCTCCCTCCCTCTTCTACTGTAGGGAGAGAAGAGACATGGAGATAAATAACAGAATACATACAATGTCAAGATGGAGGGAGAGGTCTTTCAGTCCAGGGGATCAAGAGGACTTTTTCACCAACTGAGCACTTGAGCCAGGGATTGAAGGGTGAACTTTTGAGTTCATGAAGAAGGAGGAAGAAAAGAAAGGACGAAAGGAACAGCAGAAGCCAAGTGTGGGGACAGGGCCAGCCAAGGGTTTCTGTGGCAAACTCTGGAAGTAGGGGAGGGGCAGGGCAATGAAATTCCCTGTATCTCGTGTCTCTTAGATTGTGTTTGTGGGAAATGCAGCAGGAGGAAGCAAGCCTGTGGCTAGCCCTGCGACCCTTAGGGGAACTCACCGGATGCCATACCGCACCGTTCCATCTGGGTGAAGCTGAAACACACGATTCTCCACAATTGCATCCTGCATAAAAGCGTCATTACTATTCAGAAAGTAGCAGTTAGGGACCCACAACTTCTCCTGCATGCTGTAATCCAGGGACAGGTTCAGGTTGGTCTCGTGATAGGCCAAGCGTGAGTCCTTCCAGGTCTGGTAAAAGTACATCGTGATCGCATAGTCCTGGGTAAAGAAAGGGAAGTCCCACTTGTTACTTAGGTTGTCTACCACTCTGTCTTCAGTGAGTGTGTGTGTGGTGAAACATCATATACGTGAGTGTATAAAATATATACTGTTGAAAGGAAGAACAAAATGAACCATCTATAATTAAAATACAGGTTAAGAGACAGAACATTACTAATACATCTCTAGTCCCAACATGATCTTTTCACACCCCCCACCAGGAACCAGTATTCTAGATTTCAGGATGAGAATCCCCTTGCTTTGGGCTATCTTTATTGTCTCTTTTGTGTATTTCTAGAAGATACGATGATTAATTGGACCTATGGTTTTGAACTTAAAGGAAATCATACCATCTGTATTTGTCATTTGTTTCTTTCACTCAATATTATATTTGTGAGATCTATTCCACTTGATGTGTGTCATTATAATTGGTTTACTTGCATTTCTGGAGAACATCCCACATATGCATATACTATGCATATAATCACGTAAAGGCTCTGTGCATACTCAAGTGAGGATGTTATAACAGTGACAAAGTGAAAATCCAAATTACACCCCCTGCCAAGAGCCAAGAGCTGATGGAGGCTTCCAATGTTGTCCCCTCACCAGAACTGGTGTCGTGGAGTACACGAGCCCTTTGTGCACACTCTGGTTTCACACTTACTCTGCACTGCACCACTTCTTTTCGTATTCAGTTCTTTTGGCTAGTTTTCGTCTGCTATTTAATTTCTTCACACAAAAATTCCTGTTCACATTTTCTGATCATCTCTCTGTTCATTTAAAAATATTCTTATTAATCTACAGGAATTATGAGTCCTTTGGCTTGCAAACTTCTTTGTCTACCCTGACTTACCCTTTGACACGTATTACAGTGGTTTTATTTTGCAAAACTGAAGCAGCAGGAGTTTTGGCTACCCAGAAGTATAATGTTGTTGAACTTACCAGTACTTCTTTTTATGGTTTGTTGGCTTTTAAGACACTTCATTTGTCCTGTGGTGATGGGGATGGAACCCAGGGCCTCACTCATGCTAGGCAAGAGCTCCTCCGATGACCTACATCTACAACTCTGAAAGTAATCTTGATCTACCTCAAAACATGAAGACAGTGTCCTATATGATCTTTTAAATGCTTCCTAAGCCTTTCACCTTTGAGTTTATAATCGAACCTAATTTTTGGATATGGTGTGATGTAGGGTTCACCTGATTTACATTGTATTCTAGGGGCTGTATTTTCAGAACCTACCCTGTTCCTCCATGTGAATTCTAATATAGGTCAGAATAACCGGAGTTGGCTTATGAATGTTCCTTGTCCTGTCTCCTGTCCCCTGTACCATGGCTGGAAGTGACACACTTACCTTGTTCTTATTTGGGAGCTCATGAATGTTGGTGACATAGATACCTATGTTCACAGTCACAGGGTCACCTACAACACAGGAAGACACTGTTACATGTAGGTTGGGATAAAAGTTAGGAGCCGGACTGCCTGGATTTGAACCTGTTGTGACAAATGCTAGCTGTGTGGCTTTGAGTAAGTTATCAACTTCTTTCAGTCTTAGTGTCTTCATGGCAAAGTGAGAATAATGATAGCACTGATGCCATAGTTAATTAAGGTCAAGCACTTAGAGAAGTGGTGATGAACCTGTGTTATTGTTCTTTTAGGACAAAAGATGTTAATGTATGAGTTGTTTTTGCTAAACTAAAACCTTAGCATTCAGGTTTAATCATAGTGTTGGCACTTTGTGATAAACAAGTGGGTCTCGGGTGGCAGTTTGGGCCCTTGTATTATTGACGTAGAGCAAGGTCTGGTGCATGATACACTGAAAGGAAGGGACCAGAGCAAAACAAAGAAAAAATAAAGGACTAAAGTACTCTTTTTCTAACGGTTTTCTGATGAAAACTGAAAATTAAGGAGCCTCAGAACAAGAGCCAAGATTTGTGCTTACGTGTGCATATGGGTACGTTCATGTGTATAAGTGAATTAGTGAGTGTGTGCAAGCATGCCTGTGTATGAGTGTGTGACCATGTTTGTGTCAGTGTGTATGGGATGAGATGTGTGAGCATGTTCAAGGGCAAGTGGATGCAGGAGAGTGAATGTATGACTGAGTGTGTGTTTCGTGTACAGGTGAGTATGTCTCTACATATGAGTACATGTCCATGTAGATAAAATGAATTAATGTGTTCACATGTGAGTGAATGCTTGTGTGCTTCAGTATGTTGTGTGGGTGTGAATGTATGGGTATGAGCGGATCTGTGTGGCAGTGTGTGACTGTGTATGTTTGTGTGCAGCTGAACTGGCAGCACGTGTTTGTGAGCTTATTTGTATATTTGAATATATTGTGTGTCTGAATATTTATTATGCTTTTTGTAGCAGTGAAAGTGTGAGCATATCTGTAAGCTGCGTGTATTCATGTCGAAGTATGATTGGGTGTTTTTGTGGGTTGATTGATGCATGAGCATGTTTTTGAGTGAATGTGTGAACATGTCTATACATGTGTTAGTGTGTGCATGGAGAGGATTTGAGCTTGTCTATGTGTGAGTGAATGCGTAAGCATGTTTATGCATGTAAATGAGTTTTGTTGACTGTGTATGTGAACATGTTTGTGCAGTGTGTGGCACATCTGTGTTCACATGTATATGCATGTTCTTGAGTATGAAGAAGTGAACATGATCATGTGAGGGGATGCTCATGTTTGAATGAGTGCAAAAGACTTACTGTGCTTGTCTGTGTGAGTATGTGTGTGCACATTTTCATCTCGTGGGTACATCTATTAGTGTATGTGAGCATGTTCATATGTGTACTTATGTGTGAACATGTGTGTGCATAAGAGAGGATGTTAAAGGGTGTTTTCATGGTTTTGAATGCTTATGTACGTGGGTATGTTTGTATATGTATGTTCATGTGTGTGTGTAGATGTATTGTCCAACATGTGGGGATATTTGAGAGTGAATGTGTAAGCATGTCCATGTATGTGTGAGCAAATCTGTGAGCAAGTTTGCTAGTGTAATTGGGTATGTGGGCACGTTCTGTGAGTGAATGTGTTAATGTTTGTTCACATTTGTGAGTGCATTTGTACTTGTGTTCTTGTAAGTGAGCATATTTATATGCATGAATGTGAGTCGTGTGTGTATGTGCAACCATGTGTTAATGTGTATGTTCAGTGTATGAATTTGAATGTTTGTATATATGACCATGTTTGTGTATTAAAGTGCACACACTGTGACTGCATGTGTACATGTTGTGTGTGTTGTGTCAGTGTGCATATGTGAATTTGTGTATGTGAGCATGTTTTCCAATGTGAGTGGATTATGTGAGCACATTCATGTGTATGTGTCAGCATGTTCATGTCTGTTATGTGTACCCATGCATGTGGATGCACTTGTGTATGTGAACATTTTTGTGAATGTATCAACATGTCCATGTGTCTACTATGAGCATGTTTGTGTGACAATGTGTTCATGCATACAAATGCATTCGTGTGCTTATGTACACCGGCACGTTTCTGTGTGTATTCATGTGTACGATCATATCTGAGTGTCACATCTGAGGATGAGTGAATACCATGTATGTTCATGTGTGTGTGGTGGGGGTGTGTTTGCCTGCGTGAGTGTGTTGCTGTGAGTATAAATGAGTGTGTGATTGTGCACTTGTGAGTGAGCACATGTGTGCAGGGGTTAATGTGCGACTGAGTATGTAAATCCGTGTGACTCCTAGTTTTTGTCAGGCCTAACTGTATAGGATCACGAGTGTGGGGACATGCAATGAACTCTCAGGCACTGTAGACAAATACACTTTTATTGTTCCCTCATCAGCTCCAGGCTGTCTCCATCCAGCACCCAGCACAGCCATTCTTCTCGGTGTCTTACATCACACTGCTGCTAGGGAAACACGCGTGATGCTTGCAATTCAGCCTGCTGCTTTCACTGCAGGCTGATTGCCCAGAAGCTGAGCTGCAAAGAGGGAAATGTGGTATTCCAAGCCCACTACTTTAAAGAGCAAAGTGCTGCTGGGGCCAAGCATATGAATGGCAGCTGAGAGGTAAATGGGCTTCTGTACTAGGGCACAGCCCAGACTCCAGCCTTCAGGGCTATTGTGAACAAGCCACAGGAAAGTGCTATGTAGTGACAGGAGTTTCTAGAAACACAAATACTGATTACTGCCTTTCAGGCCCTCCACATACCCTTAGAGGCCAGAAGCTGTGTTAGGCAGGCAACAAGCCCCAGAGGGGCCAGGTAGCTAGAGCCTCTGCTGCCCCTTCTGCCTCCTCTCCTTATAACCCCCTCTTCTCCCA